CATTATGATCGCAGGCTATACCACTGGGAGAAGCAAATATACTAAAATAACTGGTAAAAAAAGTGTGAATTCAAGGAGATCAGATAGCAGAGCGTGGATAAATCAGAATGGTTTATACCATGAACAGTTGTTTAGAAGAGTGTTTCAGCTGAGGAAAAATTGGAAACATAGGCCTATTCAAAGGACAGACAAGAGTCAAGGTTGAAGAAACAGCCATTTATGTAAGTTTGAACTAAGCTGAAAAATGCCTATATATTTTCCATTTAATGCTTTTGTTATTTCTAAAATAAAATGTCTGATCTGTGAATTGTACACATTCAGGAAAGAGGGCAAGTCAATTTCTTTATAAAATGGAAAAGGGGCAGATTTATGATGACTAAAATAAGTGATTTCAACGGCAGGGATTCCAATTTACAGCTCAGTACACCACCTAGAATGGTTGTTCATGCCTTTGTAATTTCTGTACCTTAGTTAAAGTACTCTGAATAAATTTAACCTTCAAGTATACACAAGGAATAACAGAAACATCACTAATAAAATAACTGCTTATCTGAAAATCGTATTAAGTGAAATACATACACTACATTCATACACTAAAACTGGTGCAGTTGAAGGGGAAAAAAGTAGAAAAACAAAAAAAATGAGGAAATAAAATAAAAATAGGTTTTGGCATCCTTTTTACAGAAGCTCACAATAATGATGGTCATGTTAAGTGCTAAGTACTAAATCAGCCTTCCTCATTTTCTGTTTTCCTTGTACAATACAGACTATAATTACAAAATGGTCATAATGTTCTGAATCCCTATTACTCTTTCACTACATCTTTTGTAGAAAAAAGTATCACAAAATTTCTCTTTGAACTTCTCTTTTCTATGACATAAAATGTCTACTGAGACTCATAAATCCTAATGCCATTTAATCAGTCTGAAAAATTTTAATGAGCTCTCACTAGATTTGGTACAGAGATTATTCGTAACTATGGGATCAATTAATTAATTAGAAATGGAAGAAACTGCAAAGAAATAGTGTTTTAAATTAAGGCAATGATTTACATCACTTAGAACTTTTTTAATAGAACAGACTGATTCTTCTTAAGAGGATTATGATCATTTGTATTACTACAACTTTTTCCTCTTTTTAAACAATGGATACAAATGGTATCTGATTGTTTTCAAATTGCACTACTAGTAAGGTCCTCGATTTTACAAAAAGGTATAGGCAAAACACCCAAAATACTGTAAAGAAAGGCCTTGGCCCATCACATCCTCAAGTAGGTAAAAAATTAATTCATGTGTTTTTAATGACATGAGTATACTGGAAGTATACACAAATGTCTTCATGGGAGTGTCTGAAACTCTCTGAGTTAGAGCCATATTTGAAATAAATTTAGTAGTATAAAATTTTGTTACTATGAAACAAAATTGCTCCAAGATAACATCGATGAGTTGAGATATATACAAATACACACAGAAACACAGAGATAGCAAGGTTATTATGAACTATTTTAAAGCAAAAATTAATATTCAAGTATTTATAAACTCCAAAGCATTATTCTAAATAACGTGAGCTTCTTAAATGAAAATGGAACAGAAAAATATTGCTTAGTGAAAGCACTTATGTTTCCTTTTTTTTTTTTCCCAGATCAAATCTGTGATGAAGATGATTGAGGTTGGAAGGGATGTCTGGAGCTCACCTGGTCCAATCCCTCTGCTCAAGCAGGGCCACCTAGAGCCTGCTGCCCAGGACCATTTCCAGGTGCCTTTTGAACATGTCCAAGGAAGGAGACTCTATCACCTCTCTGGGCAACCTCTGCCAGTGCTTGCTCACCTTCCCAGTAAAAAGTGTTTCCTTGTGCTCAGAGCCTCCTGTGTTTGTCTGTGCCCATTGCCTCTGGTTCTGTCACTGGGCACCACTGAAAAGAGCCTGGCTCTGTCTTCTTTACACTCTCTCTTAATGTATATTCATATACACATACATTAAGAAGATCCCTCTTGAGCATTCCCTTCATCAGCAAACTGACACATCAACCAGGTCATTAATGAAGATTTTAAACAGAACTGGACCCAGTATTGATCCCTGGGGCACACCGCTAGTCACTGGCCTCCAACTAGACTTTGTGTTGGTGATCACCAACCTCTGCGTTCAGCTGTTCAGACAGTTTTCAACCCACCTCACTGTCTGCTCATCCAGCCCATACATCAATAGCTTCTCTATGAGGACCTTATGGGAGAGAGTATCAAAAGCCTTACTTAGTCCAGGTAGACGACAGTCACTGCTCTCCCCTCATCTGCCAGGCCAATCATTTAATTGTAGAAATTTATCACATTGGTCAAACAAGACTTCCCCTTGGTGATGCCATGCTGACTACTCCTGAAGATTTGCTCGTCCTTATTGTGCCTGGAAATTGTTTTCAGGATTAGCTGCACCATCACCTTTCCAGGAATCTAGGTGAAGCCAAGCAGCTTGCAGTCCTCTGGGTCCTCCTTCTTGCCCTTCTTCAAGATAGGAGTGACATTTTCTTTCCTTCAGTCTTTGACCACTTCTCCCAGTCACCATGATTGATCAAAGACTATCATGAGTGGCCTTGTAAGGACATCTGCCAGCTCCCTCAGCACTTCACAGTGCACCCCATCAGGGCTCATAGACTTATTAATGTCCAGTTTGCTTATGTATTGCCTGAGCTGATCCTCTTTCACCAAGGCCACATTTCAGATAGTTTCGCATGGACTGTTTTGATTTTCTTCTTCCTTAGGAGTTCTGTGCTTGTGCTGAATTCCCACACTTTGACATTTTTGACTTATTTATCTGCACTAAGGGAACTCTGAATGCTGTTAAACTTCATATAAAGGAAAAACATGGGTTCAAACATTTACAGTCTTCTTCAAACACAGGTAAAAGAAAATAACTATATAAAACTACCATGAACACTCTTTTTTTTTTTTTTTTTTGCTAACAAAACTTGCAGTTTGAAATTATTAAATGTAATACAGATGCTACTATTATAATAAAATATTTTTTTTTTATTTTTAACACAGCTAAGGCTACTTACTGCTGAATACATAAAAAAAATAATCTACAACACAGTGCCACTGGTTTTTTATTGTTGTTTGGTTTTGGTTTGTTTTTTTAAATGTTTTTGTCCTTTTTAATTATTACCAGCTTGTGACTTTCCCCATATAGAGTCAAATAAACTAAGAGTTTTGGGAAAGCTGTACCTCTGTATATTAATATTATGAAATGAAATAAGTTCAATTTGTCATTAATACAGCTGACATTCAATTTCCTTGCCCCTCCTTCAGATACAATACCAGTTATGACCCAGCTTTCTATAAATTATCAATACTTTCTGCTCTTTTACTTTCAGAATTACAGAATATCTTACAGCCACACCTCCATCCAACTGAAAAGCATGCGATACACACTTCTCAACCTGTTTCATAAAAAACACACCATACAACATTACAGGAACATACCCTAATTTTTTGTTCCCTAGACATAGAGTTAAGCAAGAAAGAATAATTTTCCATGAAAGCAACATTAAGATGTGGTTTAAGCTTGTTTTCAACTCCTCTCTTACTCCCTCCAAAACCTTGGGCTGCTTCCCAATTATTTTCTCTTGACTGAATATTAATATGCTCAAATTTCATAACTACTTGACTCTACTATGAAATTTACAGCCTTGCTGCTCAGATTCTTCAACATTTGGAACGTACCATACATACAAGGCCTACTGTGATAGTTTCACTGGACTAGCCGTAGACGGTAGAGCATGAGACTCTTAATCTCAGGGTCGTGGGTTCGAGCCCCACATTGGGCGCCACCTACTCACACAAGTACCCAACATGTCCATACAATCGTCATCTGCATGAACATGAGCATGTACATTTGGTGTTATCTTTTCTGAACATCTGTATCTAAATTAAGTTGATGCATATACACAAAATGTCAAGAGAACTTGCAACAAAAAAGAAACAAAACAACCAACCAAAAAAACCCCAAAACAAACCCCAATTTGGTTAACACTGTTCATAGTATGCCACATTGCATCAAAATTATTTTACTCTGTATTCCTAGTCAACACAAATACCATTTAGACTCTAGGTGAGAACTTGAAGTATAAAAGGCTGAAGAATCTTAGCTAATCATTCTGTATGTATTTGTGTAACCACTTTTTCCTCAATAATCCTACTGAGAAAACGGTAATTACAGTCTAATCCAGCTAAAGTTGCTCCTTAAAAATTAATGCATTTTTCTGCAGTAATAAAACTCCAAAACTTCAAAACTTATGTTCCACTTAGGACTGACAAGAAATGAGAAAAATATTTTAAGTAGAAAGGCAATTTAAGTTAAAATAAAAGTGAAGACATTATTTTCACTAACTCTCAATTTATCTTTCAAATATTCTCCCTATATATTTCTATTTCAGAATCAAGTTTGGAAAATTATATATAAGAGAGAGAAACTAAACACCTCTACTATTTGAGAAAGATTGCTCGGTTTTAAATCAGAAAACAAGAATTATGGTCTCAAAGATTTAGAATGAAAGAGGAAAAAGAGGGCTTAGGAAAAATATATGCCCTCTTTACAAAGAAGTATCTTTAATGTTTAGACACTTAAGAGGTAAATCAGACATGAATGTATGAAAAATAAACTGATCTGTGTTTAAATAACTGTTTCCAAACTTTGAGTAGTGAAGTTAAGCTTGCAGATTTATGAACAGAGCGGAAAATCATTACACTTCCTATTACTGCACACTATAACGTAGTAAATCAGAGCAGTCTGCATTACAAACATTGTATGTAGTGGAGGGAAATAATGCTTTCCAACAATCTCTTGTTTCAACAGCATAAACATCTTTGAAAACAGTGGTTGCTGATTTTTATGTTTATATTAAATCTTAATCTAAGTATTTATCACATTAAAAAAAAAAAAAAAATCCAAATATAGCCCAAACAGAATATTCCTAACTTTTCAGTTAATTCATTCCCTTCCCTTCTTACCTTCTCTGGAGGTGCAGGAGGGTGAAATCTCTTTGCACAAACTAGAAATACATCAGGCTGTGGCTTGCCACTCATCACTTCAGGGTCATCTCCCAACACAATATGATGAAAAAGACCAAAGAAATCTTTGTGTCTAGTTGTTTTCATCTCAAATGTCACTTCCGCTGAGCTGGTGGCAACAGCTATGGGTATGTTGTGTTTGTGTAAATGACGGATCAGCTTATCAACCCCTGCAAGATAAACAAATAAATTTTATTTTATATATATATGCCTCTATGTGGTTATATGTATTAATATTTATACTAACTTACAATATATTTAGCAGTATTTCAAGCATGTTGTCTTACTGAATATAACAACCTATTTCAATCAGTTAGAAGAAAATTATTGCTATATCTCAAACTTCCCTTCTTTGCACAAAAATCATGGAACATTCCTCAAGGTATACACTTGTTCTGTCATCAAATGATGCTTTTCTCAAAACGTATAAAAAATGGTTTCATTTATTGCATAAATACACCCACTAGAAGCTCCCCAACAGTATGTATGCTTATTATTTTCAACTCTCCATAAGTGACAGAAAAGCGCACAAAAGAACATTTTCTTTTATACACCGAGTTATGCTCTTGGGGAAAAACAAAACAAAACAAAAAACACTGAAGTCAAAGAAATATACTCTTCTCACTGAATGGAATAGTTTTAATTTCTGAAGCAGGTATCCAACTGACTTAAACCAGCTCCTAAGAGAGCTCGGTTTCTCTCTTTTGCAATTACTAAAGCAAGTAACACAGGGCAGAGGAGGGGAGCTGTCAGTCACAGCTTTTAATACCAGAGGTTTATCTATTGATGCTGTGAACCCAGAGTAATGAACACCTCAAGCCTAATGGGTAGAAACTTCAATCTGATCCAGTCTTCTAGGGAAGGTTAATGCAGTGAACAGTGAAAACACAGCAGTCTCCATAAGAAGGAAATATGCTTCATTATTTTGTGCAAGTTTTGTTTTCCTTATGCAGAGATTTCAATGATCCTTCGCTGCAGTATTCTAAAGGCCAGATACCTCTCCCAGACAAAACAATTATCAGTGTCTAATAGAGAATGAGAGTGGATGTCCAGTCTTCACCAATTCACAAGATAAAATCCCTCCATATCTGTAAAATCGTTGCAGCTCTGCTTCTTGGCATGAATTCAAATTGTGCTGAACAAAGGATATTGGTTTCAGGTAGATAAGTCTCCAGCTGACTTTTGGTTCTTTGAACCAACTTGAGAACAATTATTTGTTTTCATCTTCCTGCATGAATCCTTATCCTGCTTTTCATGCCTGGCTATACTAATCTTACTCCCTTCCTCTTGATTCACTGTCATACTCATGTCCGATCCTTGCTCCCTCAAAACATTCCTACTCCTCACGTCCATTTAATTCTTTCCTTTGCCACTCCAGCATCTCTGATTTGCATTTCCCATGTGATCCAGCCTTTCTGCTCCATTGCTCCATTTTGACAACTCTATAAACAACCTGACCTACAACACATTTTTCCGGAGTATAGTCATATGCCCAACTTTGAGAAGTTATAATTACTACTGATAATAAAGTGTGTAGATTAGTAAATAGCTGCATTAGCTAACTTGTCTATCTGGAAACATAAACTATAGATGTGGCCCTCTGCAGATTGCTTCTCCATTCTCCAGAATCTAATCAACCAATTAATAACTGACATTTCCAGCTCCACGCTTGTATTTGAAGACAGCCTTTAAACTATAAATACATGCACTTCTGTGATGTTAGATTCCAGCTGGACAGAAATAACAAGTGTTATTCCTCCTCTAATGTCAATGCATCACCCATTTAAAACCCTTCCTAGGGCCCATTAAGTGGTTATACTAATAAGCAGCAAGTACATTTTTCCCAAATGATGCTGCTCTGTCTTCTCATTGAAATAGGATGCTAAATAAATAAAAGTTAACTTTTTATTCCAGTTACAGAAACATGTGAAGTGAGTCCATATTAAACTAAAAGAAGTACTAAGATTTCTTAATGTAAAGCAGTAGCCTAAATGTCTCCTTTTTTAAAAATAAAATGCATTAATTCAAAGGAATTTAGTCTAAATAACCTGCAACATTTAGTGAGGCTAGCATATCGTGTGTGTATTAATATAAATAAGTTTAGAGATTATACAAGTAAGAAGATTCTTCCTATCTCCTATGCCTTTGCTACGATGTAGTGAGTTTTCTCTAAAGTTGTGCTCTTTTCAAATAGCTAATTTTCTTTGGTCCCGCTGCGTCACAGCTTCAGTTCATCTGTCACAGGGTATCTTTATTCTACATTTCTATTGGAGGTAGCCAGCCACAGAAAAGCACTGTTGCAGAAAGGTTATTTCTTCAGGGTTCTCTATGATATTCCCCCAGCACATGTCATAATTTCAGTTTGTAAATGTGTGTGCGTGTGTATATGTGTGTCTACTTTCTCTTTTTGGCTTCCCTTGCTAAAAGGGAGCTAAAATGCAGCTGTCCCTAACAGCTCCAGAGAGCAAAGATTTACATTATTCAAAAAATGCACTTTAATAAAAATATGCCATTTAAAAATGATTATTTGCATACGTGTAAACATAGCAACATAGATTAGGAAAAAAAAAATACAAGGGGAAATCAGCCACATGGAAAAAAATTAAATTGCACATGGAAGAATAGCTGGCATAATTTAACCAGCTCAAGACAGTAGCAGTTGAAAAATATTTTCATTCCAGGTTTGTTATTTCTTTGCAAAAGCTATAGATCAACAAAATCCATTTTTGTTTGCATCAATTTGCACCAGTATAGCTTTAGACACTTTGCCACCACATCAAATTACTAACATAACTACTGTACTAATTTAGCATATAATTCTTCATTAGGAAGATAATATCTTTCTTAGTATCTTTGTCCTGCTTTTTTAACAGAAAACATCAGCAGAAGGGGAAGTGGGGAACTGCTTTAAAGATCTGTAAGAAACTTCCCCTGGCATACACTTGGTCATTATATCCCCTATAGCTACACAGATCTTCTAATCAAATGAAGACTTCAGTTACATCAGAAACAACCAATTAAAAACTCAATGTCTATGAAGTATGTGAAAATTCCTGTGAACTCACTTTTAACTTACTTATAGCTGCCATGCAAGGGACTGAGGCCCATCTATTATGGAGAGACCTATCTGCTAGGCTTCCTGGGACTGTCTTCCACCTCTCCTACTGAAAGCTTAGCCACATGCAAGCAAGTTCTTTTTTTTGTTTGTTTGTTTTTTGTTTGGTTTTTTTTTTCTTTTAGCATCTTTGATTAAAAACAAAGAAAAACCCCCAAAATAAGATCAAAAGAAATAAGGATCTCTGGTTTTCCAGCATAAGGATACACTTTTAGTGTGGTACACATGCAATTAACAATCTTGGGCAATACAACATAAATTCTTCAAGTAACCATAAAAAAACAAACAAACAAACAAACAAAAAACATTGCTATGCTTTATTTCCAAATGCACTCTTTCATTTCAAATAATCAAAAAGGTAATTAGTGGTTGTTTTTTGTTTGTTTTTTTTTTTTTTCCTCTATCTCTTTAAATACTAAGGTTTGGAATAGACACAGAAGCTTGCTACATTCCAAACGCAATAGTTAAACACCGGTGACTACTGAAAAGAAAAACAAGTGAAAAGAATTGTAAGCTGAGTTTAGTTACAGAAGCTGAAAAGAAGAAGGATCAACTTTAAATGTCAGCATCTTTAAAACCTGATTAATCACAAATGTCAATGAAGTTAACAACTTCAGGAAAAGAAAAAGAAAACAAACTAAACCAACAGAAATGAGTTATTTCTTCTGAGATCACAGACGTTTTTATTTAAGGAAGAGATCAGCACTTTTGTTCTGAAAGTTGCAGAAAAACATATATAATATATATGTTTTTTTAAAAAACAAAGTATTATTTCTCCATTACTCTCCGATTGTGGTGTTTGCTCTCTTTAGATTCAGCTGAAAGCAGTGACTAATATATAGGATCAACTGACAAACTAAAATTAAGATTTATACCAAACAACAAAACCCTTGGGCTGTCGCATTTTCCTTTTCATTGACTAATACAAACATGTATGGCAAGAGTTCAGGAAACCAAATAATGCAAGGCTAAAATGATCTAACAATAGTCTCTATCTAATTATTTATATGCTATTACAACACTGGTTTCTACATTATTTTTTTTCAATTATCACATTTTATAATGAAATGGCATTATTCATTATGTAAGTGAAAATTAACTAGACATAACTCCTGAGAGCTAATTCAAATTGAAGAAAAACAAAGGGAATATTTATTTTCCTTTTAGGTTTATATAAGCTTGAGGTCTGTGTCATATAGAATACTTCAGAATGGTAAACAACACATAAATTTTTGCTACATTTTATTTGATATACTTTCAAATTTTCATACCATCCCCTTTCTTGTGTTTGTCTACCACTGAACAGAACACCGTTCTTAACTTATATCACTTTTAGAACTCCAGATTCAGCCCTATTTCTTGTGAAATGTCTCCAGATAAATAAGGAGATAATATAAAGTTCTATTTTTTTCTAATATAAGTCTCCAACCAAACTTTTGTCATACAAATCATTTTTTATTTTCTTAAAGTGAATTTTCTATGAACATGTTACAGTAGGCTATAAGAATGCTTTTCAAGATAGAAAAGAAAGTGATTTTCATCATAAACTGGGCAAACATATGAGATAGGGAAGAGGATTATTCATGCTGCTTCAGCATTGAACCATAATTTCAGTTTCCTCTGTTCACACCAGTTGAATGATTCCTGGTGTTCATATTTCTGCTTACAGTCAATTCATTTGACAGCACAACCACATCATCAGGCAGACCACCCACACTAAGCTCTGCCAGTACCTTAATCTGAAAATCCACCGTTTGGTGGTCTTATAAGGACGGACAAAGTCCTACAGCCTTGTGGCTTCAGGAATACAGCTGGCTTGTGTACTCCTGGCACAGAGTGCAGGAACAAGGTCACATAAATGCCCAGGCCTACCCAGACAGTCTCACTGTCTTTTCTGATGTATGTTTCAATCCCAAAAAGATGAACACAAGTTATATAAGAAAAAGACCCAAAAAATGAACAGAACTCCTCAAGGACTTCTCTTAAACAAAAGCGTATATTGTAAATAGAACCACGAGAAGTTAGTATCCTAAAATTTATAAGGTAGTTTTTACGAAATTTAAGCTTCAAAATTACATTACAGGAGCTCCAACTTGGCTGAGAAGGTCTCAAATAAACAGCGACATTTTCAGTGGCAAATCCTTTCATGAACATCACAGTGTACCATACCTCTCTTGCATCTCTTCAGTCCTTCCTTGGGTGCCACCTAAGTACTAATTACATCTAACTTCTAATTAATTATATTTTAGCCATTATGCAATCCCAGGAACAGAAACAGGAACAGTTTAAGAACATTTTGAGCAAGCTAGAAAAAATAGCCATTGTATACATTAAAAATGTATATTCTTCCAAATGAGTGTTGGCCTTATTCAAACAATTACAGTGTTGGACATCTAATAATCAGAGAAATAGTATAATGTAGGATTACTGTTGCTCAAGATAGTAAATAACGGGGAAAAACAAACCATACCAAACCAAACACCATAAATACAGCCTATTCCTTATACTAATTAAATGCAAGCACAAAGTAGCCAATGAATTCAAGTTGTATTGTGGAGTTTCCATAGATTCTGCCTGTTCATTTCCAAATTCAAGTGACCATTCAAGCTAACCTACTACAGAAAGCTAAAGGTTACAGGTACAGAAATTATAAAAGCTTTGGATAGACTTACAATGATTATTTTATGTCTTCCTCTTCACAGTTGCTTTTTTTAGAAAGCAAACACATCTGAACTCTTAAAACCCAAAATAGCAAACAGGTATTTTAAAACTGATATGAAGATGACTTTCTATGCCCAAAAGCTTTTCTACAGTTCAGTTAGTTTAATGAAAGATATTACTTCTCATTTAAAACCTCACTCATATAGGCCTCAAATCATTGTGATTACAGTAAAAACATTACTGCTATCTACAAGTGCTGTGTAACCTCTGACATAGTTTTGGGGACCATAGAAACACTTTAGAAAAAGTGAGTTATTTAGGACACTTATTAAATTGTCTTATCCTCCTCTCCAGTTAGTTACAGGTGATTTCATTATTTATTCAGTTAAACTCCTGTGCTATTCTTGTCTTTTTGCCTGTATTTTTTAATGGCAATATGTAATTTGGTCTCCAGTTAATTTTAATTTTTGAAAATATACTCATTCTCTTTACTTCAATAAGCTATACAGGCCACTTTCATTTGACAATTTAA